CTCCTGGAGGGATCACACCCTGCTGCTCCTGGAGGGATCACAACCTGCTGCTCCTGGAGGGATCACAACCTGCTCCTGGAGGGATCACATCCTGCTCCTGGAGGAATCATATCCTGCTCCTTCTGGAGGGATCATATCCTGCTCCTCCTGGAGGGAATCACATCCTGCTGCTCCTGGAGGGATCATGTGTTGCTGCTCCTGGAGAGATCAGGCTTGGAATTGGCCAGTGAAAAATGGGCTCTGGCTCAAATGAATCGATCTTATCTTCGGCCTCTCTTCCTCCCCCTGAGGGGAACATGAATGACTGGGGCTGCCTGGCTCAGCTCCCATTTCCCTGGGTGGTTCCGGGTGGATGGGCACTATGAATCAAAGTGTCACAGGGAGCCAGGAAATGGGCCAGGATGGAGAACAGGAGCTCAAACCACTCTACCACAGAGGGTCCAGGCCAGGGAAAGCCCAAAAAGACCTTCCCTGCCTTCAGCTAGGGACTCAGGGCTGGGATTTCAGCAGCCCTCCAGCCCCTCAGATTTCCACCCCCTGTTTTTTGAGGTCATTTTTTGGCAGCTCAGCCACAGGAGCTGGGAGTTTGCAGCTGCCATCTGTTTTCATTGCCCTTCTACTTGAGTGGTGATGTGTAAACATGAGCAAGATGAAGGATTGTCCTGAGGGAGGTCAGGGATGGGGTGGGGAGGTGAGAAGTTGTGATGGAGCAAAGAATCCACACGGATTGAGCTGCACCTAAAATTAACTCATCTGGTCCTTTAGCCATTCCTCATGTGTGAGACCTGCACCCAGTTTCTCTGGGAAAGGATGGATGAAGGGAGGCTCTCCTGGTTTGCTCCATCCTTTCCCAGCCAAAGCCAGGCTGGACCCAAGGCAGCTCTGTGCCCTCACCTCCCTGCTATCTGCAGCATTGCACTGCCCTCGTTGCCACGGGGCTGGGCAGAGTTATCTCACAGGGGCTTGGGCAATGCAGCCCTGCAGTTATCTCTGCTTTGCAGATGGGGAACCAAAACACAGAAAAAGTGAAGGACAGGCCTGTGAAATAAACTCTTCAAGTTACATGTGACACAGCACAGCAGTCCTCAACTCCCACAGCCATTCCCTGGGGCCAGGGAGTCCTGCCAGTCCCACCAGGAACTGTTTGCCTTCTATAGGTACAGACTTTTCTCTGACTGCAGGTCGAAGAGCTGCCACTTGGTCACCAGTTCAATTAGCAGCTCATATTCCTCTTTCAGCTCCTGGAGCTTCATCAGAGCCTCTCTGATCCCAGGAAATGAGTTTTCCAAATGAGGCGTGCCTGGTGCACTGATAAAGAAGGCATCAATGGCCAGTCCAATTTCTTCTCTATTCTCTCAGTCCTTATAATGGATGAGGCATTGGAGCAGCCTGGTCTGGGGAAGGTGTCCCTGCCCGTGGCAGGGGGTTGGAATGAGTGATCTTTAAGGTTCCTTCCAACCCAAACAATTCAATGGTAATTTCTCCTGTTTCTGGTTGTTTCCAGTATGTTTGTTCCACAAGATTATTCTTTAAGGGTAACTGATCTGAAAGTTGTGTAAAAATGTTTGTGCTTGCTGCACATGCACCTTAGGGCTGCCTGGATCTTGTGTGCTCAGACAGGAGCATCAGCCCCTCAGATTTCCCTGTGCTGGTTGCACTCCTGCTGTATCCCAGCTTCTCAAGGAATACACATCTATGTCTCCAAATTCACCCCAGAAGAAGGTCTGAATCTTGCACCCAGCAAAGACAACAGTGGGTTTTATTGACTGCAGCACCATCAGGAGATCAATTCATAGATTTACATAGCACTTACCATGCAGGGATCACAAACTGCCTTTATCATTCCCTTCAGACCTGGGCTGCCTCGGTCCCTGAGTCATTATCTGATCCGTGGAATGATCAGCTGGAATATCTCAGCACCTCAGAGATCAAAAGGAAACTCTGCACAGTTCAAAGAGAAGCCTTTTGAGGCTGCTGGATGTGCTCTCTCTGAGCAGATTTCTCTTCCCATAGGAATGTTTTGCCACTGTGACCCAAACCTGGCAGCTCTGCTGCATCCCTGCACTGGCACAGGGAGGGATGGAAAAGGGTTTATATCCACAGAGCTCCACAGTTTTCCTCCACCACAGGAGCATTCCCATCCCACAGCAACCCCAGCACAGCCAGAGCTGCTGCAGCTCTGCATTGTCCTGTGCCATCTAACAGGAGCCAAGGCAGCTGCACCTGAGGCAGCCCATTTTTTGGTCACTAGAACCAGGAATATGTGGCACTTTTCATGCACACAGGATGACAGGTAGCAGGGATAGAGATTTCCTACCATTCCAGTTTGAGCCCTGGGTACAAGTGTGTTCACACTGGGATTTTTTAGCAGTTTAGTGATTAAGTCCCACCATCAGCACGGTGGCTCAGCAGAACTTCTCTCATGTGGACACAGCCTGAAGTCCTTCCCCATGGCTGGAGCAACTGGATGTCACTGCAGCAGCACTGCAGCAAAGCTTGGCCTGGCAGTGCCTGGAGGGAGAGGGTTGGTCATCCAAGGGCTCTGCTGCGGAAACACCTCCTCCCCTTTGGGAATGGTCTGATGTTTAGGAACAGGGCAGGATAACAGAAGCACAGGGTTTACAAGTGCCTGTTGCAGCGGGACCTTCGCTGAACTTCCTTCATCAATCTCCATCAATCCTCCCTTTCCTACGCTCCAATCTGGGCTCTTAAACAGCTCCCTTCCTCTTTTTCCTCCCCTCTCTCGCTGCCCCCCAGCACATACGTGCACATTTCCTTTTCCTTAAGCAAACAATTTTCAGATTTAAAAGTGAACTCTCGCTGCAGGCTGGAAAAAGACAATGTGGCCTGGCTCCTTATCTGCTGCTATCTGCTGCTGCTTGTACTCACAACAGGCTGTGAGCCCAGATTGGCTTTACAGGAGATTTCAAGTGTTTATGAGCCACAGGAGGGAGAGAGAGGAGGGGAAATCTGGTAGGGAAGATAAGTCCAGGAAATAAGGCAAGTGACTGGAGCAGAGTCAACAAGCTGAGAGAGCAACCGGACACCTCCAAAGAGCCAAGGATGTGACTCAGTGTCACGACTCCAGTTCTTAGAGGGGATTCACCTCTAATGGTCCAGGGGAGTTGTGATTGTGATGGAAAAGGGAAACATCTTGATCTCTTTATAGACTTGGGATATTTTCCAGTTAGGAGCCCAAAGGTAAGCTCCTCAATCCATAGGCAGGCTCCTAAAATAAACTGCTTGGTTTTCCAGGATTGTGCAGCACATGCTGGCTCCAGCGGGTCCCTCAGTCACACTGAGGGGTTTGTAATGTGCTGTGTAAACCCAGACCCTCTCTGGGGCCCAGAGCATCACCTGGTCTTTGTTCATGTGCCACCCAGAGCAGTGTGGCTTCAGACCAACAGGACGAGGTAGTAGCTGCTCACATGGGCACTGGGATATTTTTATAATCACCGGGATATTTTTATAATCACCTTTTATCCCCACGTGCACAAGGTTTTTGATGGTAACTGGAAAAGCATGTAGGCTTCATCTGTAATGGATTTTAAGGACAAAAATATCTGGGCTGGTTGCATCCGAGAACAGTAATTCACCTTGTTCTAGGCAGCCCAAAATCTGTCTCTAAGCATGGCTGTGCAATGAAAAGGTGAGGGTGTGTGCTCTTCCTCTGCAAGACCAGATGGATGAAGTTTTCGTGCTCTGATGGTTGTTTCTAAGCAGGAAAAAATTGAAACCCTTGTTCTTTAGGGCAGATGGTCTGGTTTTACCTTAAAATCTGTAATTTATGACATACCTTTCATATCTTAGCTACTGAGTATAAGGAGAGCCTTATGGAGACCAGAGTGACATTGATTTCCAGCAGCCACCAGCTGCAGAACCCTGGACCACCCCGTATTGTGCACTGATTTAGTGCTGATCTTACTGATTTAACTGCCTGAGTCAACACTATCCTCCTTTGGTTGGTTGACTGGGGGTTTTCTGGCCCAGCCTTTCATTGGGGCTCAGCTATTCTGCAGTTCACTTGCTCCAGCATCTTCAGGTTTCCTGCCCGTGTTGTCCCAGTCCTGACACACATCCAGCTCCAGTTGTGAGCTCCAACATCATCCTGACACACACCCAGCTTCAGTTGTGAGCTCCAACATCATCCTGACACACACCCAGCTTCACTTGTGAGTTCCAACATCATCCTGACACACATCCAGCTCCAGTTGTGGGCTCCAACATCCCAGGATCCGTGTGCTCAGGCCACTGGTGATAACCAGTGCTCCCAGCAGTGCCCCTGCTCCAGCCCCTCCGAGGGTATTCATGGAATCAGGGAATGCTCTGGGTTGGAGGGACCTTGAAGATCATCTCATTCCTGCCATTGGCCATTGGCAGGGATGCCAGGATATGCCAGGATATTCCTCCAGTGCTTTCCATCACTGGCACAAAAGGAAAGCAAACCTTCCCTCCTCCTTCACACAGATTCCTCTTTCACCCACACCCCTTTCCCTGTGAAATCCACTTCAAATCCCTGTTTCATCCCCTCCACACTTGTGTTGTCTGAGGGTAGTGGAAGGTTCCCTGCCCATGGCAGGGGTTGGAACAAAATAAGCTTTAAGATCCCTTCCAACCCAAACAATTCTTGGATTCTATAAAACCTTCATTACTGCCATCTCCTTTCCTTGCGTAGGGAACAATTCCTTCCTGTCCCAGGCAATTTCTTTGGCCCATAAACCCCTGATCAAAGCTGAACTGCGTCTCTCTGTTGTCTCTATTCCATTAGGGATGTCCTGGAGGCCCTGCAGGTGAAGGGGGCTATGCCCTGACCTTGAGTCGTTTCACGATACAGCAAAAGCTCAGAGCGAGCACTTCATAATATTAACCAGAGAGACTTCCCAAATCATCGCTCCTTTCCATATGGGAACAGTTATTCTCCCTTATAAAGCACCTTTCCATGGAAAGGCTGCTCCAACGGGCACTGAAACGCTTTAATGGGACTGGTGCAGCCCGAGCTGTCTGGTGACAGTGCGTAGACAAGGCCCAGGGTGTAAGAGCTCTTCAAGGGAAAACCTTTTGTGGAAAGGGCTGTAAAACACCATTTTACTGTGTTGTTCTAAATTTCCTCTCTATTTTATGGTTCATCTAATTCGAAGGGAAACCCTCTCGGTGGAGAAGTGGAATGGGAAACATGCTGCCGTGTCAAAACACTTGGAATAGCATCAAGCTCCTGTTTTAGCCATTTATTTCTCCTAATTTCACCTCGGGGTTGGGTGTTATTTTTAATCCTTTTCATTCATTCAGCTGTTTATGTGCCTTTTGGTGGAGCTGCCTTTCTTGTCTCTCTCTTCCCTCCGGCTCAGCTCCTGTACCATCCACAGTGGATGAAAAACAAGGTGAGATGTTTCCAAGAAACTAACCTCAGGAAAGAAATAATGGATGTGTTTGCTTGGATGGTTGGTTTTCCGTGGAGACCAGAGCAGGTGGAGCCCCTGTAGAGCTCCAGAAGTGTCCTCAGGGGCTGCCTGGTCTCTCCTGAGCAGCAGCTCCTCCAGGAGCTCCAGTCCAGGGTGGCCAGGGATGCTCTAAGGGAGCACCAGGACAAGACTTTAGGGTTTTGCTTATTAAAAAAAAAAAAAGGAAATAAGCAATCCCAGAGCAAGCAGATGCAAAGGGAACAGGCTGTGGAGCTGGGCTATACAAGGAGAGGGAGCTGTGCCGGAAACAAGGGCATCCTTGTGTTTTATAGAGAAAGAATAAATACTGTTATGTCTTCTGGAAGAGGTGCTTCATGCAAAATTCACTGGAAAGCAAAGCAACATTGAATCTTGCAGTGAATTTGGGGTCATGGCTACTTCTCATTTCTTAAGAGGCAAAACTCTGCCAGGGAGAGAAAAGAGCTTTTAATTTCTTTCACTTATTTTCTTCTATTTTTCTAGTCAGCATCAGCTGGGCAGGCATGTGGAAGAGAAAAGGAGTGGTGGGGGCTCCTTTGGGATGGTAAATGTTGGGTTTGTTCAGTCAAAGGGGCACAGTAGACATTTAGGGGGGGAAAGGCGTGGCAGAGCTGGAAGATGCAGGAGCCCTGACAGGTTGGGCTCTGACTGACAGGATGAGCTGTGACTGAAAGTGTGGGCTGTGACTGACA